GTGGAGGTGAAACACCCCACTCATCTTAAAATGGCCAAGTTTGGACAACACTGCATTACACAGAAAGAGGCCTTCCTATGGGGATGGTCATGGTTTGGATGGTTTTCCCTCCTGGAGGCAGGGTGGTTTGTTTTAGTCAACAATTGAAGATTGGTCTTACCACTCCCCTCTTTGAATTATTTATATTATAGAATTATTCTATATTATTTATATTATAGAAACTTTGAAGGTTTAAGCATTTCTAGGTGTTTCATTGTTGACATGTTAATATTACATGGTTAAATTTTAATAGCTTTTTTAAAAAAAATGCATACCGAAATGAGTCATTTGAACTTTATTTCTTGTGATGAAGATTGTGATGAAGATCGTTCATTGCCAACAGACCTGATGTCCCTCCCCAAAGAGGTGTTTTTAAATAGCTGTCATACCCCTTATAGACCAGCCAAATCTGAACCAAATTGTTTTTATTTATTTATTTATATATCAAATTTGTCACCCCCATCTCTTTAAAAAGTGACTGGGCGGATTACAGAAGAGATAAAATCAATTAAAATACAATATAAAATAGTCTTAAATAAGTAATAAATTCCAAGGAATGATAAAATTGGCGAACAGCTCAAATTACTGTTCCCAAATTAAGAAGGGCCTTAACCTTGGTGCAGTTCAACGTGCTTCCAACAGCAGTCTTAGAGAGGTGATACAAAGACATCCTATTTAAATTCAGACTTGGCCCATGTGAAGCACTGATTGAAACCACCAAACGTGTTATTATACTGTCTATTTTACGTTGACACTTGCTGTGAGCTGTTAACCCCACATCTAATTAAATATCCTGGTCACTCTGACCAGTTTTACTTAATTTTTTTACTTTCAGATTCAAACAATTCCATTTCTTTAAGCGTAGCTAAATTTTGTCATGTTATATGTAAGAAGCACAGCATTTGTTTAATTGATCTGTTTACCGAATTAATATCAGTTTTGTGTACATAATGTGTTTTATGGGTTGGTCATTGACCACAATAAAAATTCTTCTCCTTCTTCTCCTTCTCCTCCTCCTCCAGCAGTATTATAACTTTTATAAGGATTGCTGTTTACTTCATAGGCACTAAGAACACCTAAATGTTTGCTTTTGTTGCAGCGGAAAACCTTCATACAGCAGTAGCGTTACTGCAAATGAAAGACACAAGCCACTCAAAGGAAGAGAATGTGGGAGATTCAAGTTTGGCAAATCTTAGTGAAACCGAAGTCTGTGAACCTTTCATTGATTGTTAGTAAGAACTAGTATTTTTAATTGTCCACTGTTTAGATATGTACCATGATTGTCAATTTAGTGTTTTTCAAAATATAAAGAAAGATACTTCCTAGAAGAATTAGATACATCATCCAGTACTTGCATGGAAGAGAATTTTTAAATCTAAGTAATATTTTTCCTGTTGGTTTTAATCTCTAGGTACAGAACTGAAGGTAGAAAAAGAAACTTGTAATTCTGACACGCATGATGAAAACATAGCAGAAGTGGATATGCTAGACCAGGTACTGTACATTCATATACACCTTGCATTATCCAGCACTAAATTTAGTCATTTACCTATGGATATTCCCTTTTTTGTCTCTACTTCCACTTTCTCTAGTTTTTATGCCATTCTTTGCTCAAAACTGCCATTAAATAGGTGCTTAAAAACATTTGTAAATAGCAAACGTTTTAGATAATTTCCTAGATCCACCAGACGGTGGCGGTGTAGTTCTACAAATAGCCTAACGTAATTGTATGTTTGTAGGAAGGAAACACCTGCTTTTCTGCTTCTACACAAACTGAGGTAAGTTGGTCCTGTTACAGTGATCTATTACTACTCTGTATTCTAACTTTATTACATTTTGTAATTTTTACCTCATCCTCAATGTTTTCTTTCTTCCTTAGATTGTACAGACTATCCAGAATTTAACACGGCTCTTATACAGCATTCAGGTGATTATTGCTTTGTCAAGTTAATTGGTTTTTGTAAACTGTATATTCAGCAGCTCACAGATTTTCAGATTTTCAAAAAACTGTTAACAGTTTAGCAGTCTCTTTATAAAAATCTTATCTGAATGTTATCCTATTCTTTGAAAAATTGTGTGGATTAACTGCTGATAGCTGGAAAGTGCCATGTAGTGATCCATATTAGTTACAGCATTTAGCAGACAGAGCCTGCACCATCATTGGTTGTCTTTTTGTGTTGTCTTTGTTGTTGGATGTCACATATGGAAAAAAAATCTAATATAATTTAAATGTCAATGTAGCATTTTTCTGCTAAAGTACATGATTGATTGACCATGACTGAGGTGACCGGCCTCTGATTTGTCTCAACTGCAACTCTAATGTCTAAAGTTAGTGGTTCTTCTTGGAGAATGTTCAGAGGACATTCTGAATGGAGACTGAACGTCATGACTGTATTTATTGTCCTTATTAAAATAACAATATACAATAAGACTGTGGAGAGGAATAAATTCTATAAAATGTCATTCAGGATTATAAAATTAAGCATACTTAAATTTCAGCTCAGCAAACTCATCTCATGTAGACAGAAAGAATGATCAAAAATAACTCTGTGAAGCCCAGAAACAAAACTGCAAAATCAAATAATAGAATACCTTTATTAAAGCTGGCTGAAATGATAGAAGAGTGACCAAACTCCTAGGTTTTTTTAAAGCTCACTGTTTGGGAATTTGATTGATTAAGTATGTGCTATCAAGTTATTTTTGACTCCTAGCAACCACATAGATAGAGTTTCTCCATTATTGGGAATTTGGACCAGTTCTAATAAAGGTACATTCTAATGAATTGTGGTTTTGGGAATACAGTGTTTTCAGAGTTTATCTTCAACCAGTAACAATCATTCTGTATGTGTTGCTCTGAATGGAGCTATTTGGAAAGGCCCCTATGCCTAATGCCTACAATTCTTACAGCTCTCACTAGTCTGCCCAAGTGCTATGTCCTGACCGTAGAGCTTAGACAGTGCATATGGGTGCAAGCGTCCTTCAGATAATGTGATTCCAAGCCTAAAATATTTATTCTAAAAGGTGGTAGAAGGGATTCTAAGATTAGAGCTGGGATATATATATTTTTGAGACATGTATTCAGACCACTTCCTATCTCACTTGGAATATCTTTATTCTTAGATAAGCCAGAATTTGTAAAATTGTGAGGTATAGTGAGCCAAAAACCTTGACATTAATCATAGGTCTAGTGCAGAAAATGAACACATATTATTATCTGAAAATGGAAACAGTACGTTAAATGAATAAAACAAGAAGTGTATTATCTTAGATTTGCACGTGGAATTTTTTTTAAGGCTGTTAAGCACTAAATGTTGATATTTTATAAAACAAATAGAACTGACAGAAATTGTTACCACATTTTGTTTTGATGAAAAGGCAGCCTTGACTATCCAGGATACTCACATTGAGATCCATAAGCTGCTTCTGCAGGAACATGAAAGATCCAGCTTGAGTCACAGCCCACATAGCACTTTTTTCCTCGAACAAGAAAAACACCGAAACTTTAAATCAAAGGAAGAATTTGCAAATATTCATAAACTCCAGCACCAGTTTCAGCAAGAGCAGCAACGATGGCACCGTGAGTGTGAGCAACAGCAACAGGAGCATGAGACAAGAGAGAGCAGGTTGCTGGAGAAGGAGAAAGAGTGCTTTAGCCAAGAAGAGTTGCTTTGCAAAAACTGGGAAGAGCTGGATAGCCAATTGCAAGATTACCAACAGAACCTAGAGAGACTCAGGGAGAGTCAAAGGATGGTGGAGAAGGAACGGGAAACCGTCAAGCTGCAGCAAAAGATTCTGCGCCACTGGAAGCACAGCCATCAAAGCAATCTGCCAACAGTCATCTCATCAGGAAACAATGAGGTATGCAGTATTTCCAAACATTGTTCAACATATCTAGGACTTGGTGATCTCCCCCATATCCCACCTGAGGTAGTCCAGTTTGATGAGCCCTGTGCTAACACATGAGACTGAGAGCTAGCAAAGAACCCAATGGGTTTATGGCTGAGATAAGATCTGAACCAGGGGCTTTCCAAAGTTCTGCTCTATTCATGTTTCTCAGAAAAAGAAAAGATAAAGATTGATGGAAGATTAATAACTTCTGATGAGCATTCATACTACTGTTTACTAGAGATACTGTTCTATAGACTTTACCTTTTACTTCTGATGGGCCACTCAGGGTGACCAGGAGTGTCTAGAAATTGATAATAACATATGGGAAGGAGGCTGTTGGCAGTGGAGGACCACACAGGGAAAACAAGGGCATTATACATTATTCAATAGAGGAATGTATGAAGTCCTCACCCTGAATGTGCCTTTGTGGTCTTGCCTATAATATGCAGTGGGAAGTGAGGAGTGCAACTTATGATTATTAGTATTTAACCACAGGAAGTGTCAGCCAATGGAATGAAGATAGCAAAATTTGTTATGTTTTAGAGTTTTCATAGTTTATAGACTATAATTTAAGTATAGTGCTTTGTCATTTATAGGCTATAATTCTACTTACATAATGTGAGAAGCAGGATAATCTCAAAATTAGCTTCTTTTTAAACAGCAGACAAAACATAGACAAGTAACAACAATCTATTGTAGTGCTTGCTTATTGGAGAAAAATATAGCACATATTTTTCAAGAGGAGAGAAAAAATAACTAAGAACTGTTCCAAGGCATGCCTCCCTCCCTCCCTTCCTCCCTCCCTCCCTCCCTCATCAAGTGAAGATTTTTAAGTGTTAAATTATTTTTTTTCCACAAATCATACATTGCATGAACTTGCTGCACTGCTCTTGATTCTCATCTTGGCAACAGATGAATGAGTTTTTCTTCTGAA